CTCAACTTCTGCGATGGCCCAGTTGCGGCAGTTGCGTGGGCCGCGACATGGCTGCGATTTGGGGTTTTCCCGGTTTCGCGCCTGTCGCATCGCGTGTCGCATCACAAAAAAGCTTCTGTGAATCAGGGAGCCCTACACATACGTGTATGTGTAGGGCTCCCTGCTGTGAATCCCGCTGTAGGTACGCGTCTAGTAGTTTTGAAATGGACTGTAGGGGCTCGAGCGCAGCCTAGGAAAGTAAGTAGTTTGATTCTAACCAGGGAGCCCTACACATACCCATATGTGTAGGGCTCCCTGATTCTAACCAGACCGTTCTTATTCACACGCGCGGCGCGCGCAGCGAGTCGAGTGACGTCATGACGTTTGTCATGTACATGTACATGTAGTGCAATGTAGTACTTCTTGTAGTGCCAGCAGTAGTGGGTGTCGTAAATGGGAATGACTGTACATGTAGCAGTTACTGTTTACACGTGTACATGACATGTACTCACCTCCCATACATGTACAATGTAGATCTACGTACAATGTAGATCTAGTGTTCTTAAATCTGATAATTCTAGCCTGGACTGTTCTTAAATTTTGCCGGTTTTCCAGCCTGGGTGTTCTTCGGCGAGGTGTTCTTCGGCGCCCGATCTTACTGTAGGCTACTATCAAGAGTTCATATTATAACCCCCACTGGCCCCAGGGTTATGAACAGGGAGTCGTAAAATACCGGTATTGTACGACTCCCTGGTTATGAACTCTACTCTCGATCTCTCTAGTCTTGGTACTATCCAGGGAGTCGTAAAATACCGGTAGTTTACGACTCCCTGGTACTATTATTAAATTATTTTTTTGGTAAACCGGCCTCTGATATCTTGTACGGTACGCGTACTATCGCTATAATCGAAGTTTTTTCACAAAACGAAAATAATTCCGTTATGCCTAACTTATGGGGTCCGGGTGGGCATGGCCATGTGGGCATGGGTACTCTTGGGGGGGGGGGGGTATGTACTCTTGGTACGGGTATAGGGCTAGCTAGCTAGGGTCGGGAGGGGGTTGACCGTTTCAGAAAACATTGATACATGTACACGGCCATAGGCCTATAGCTAGGAAGCCGGAGGGAGGGGTTGGGTCTAAACTAAAATAATTCGTTCGGTGACTTGAAAAAGGTTTGATACTATAGTTAATGAGCTGCTGCACATAATTATTTCACATACCGGTAATCATTATCTGACCAGGCATAGGCATAGGGTAGCCAAATGTTGGTTCACGGACGGCCCCTTAATTACGGTGGTCGCCATGGCAAATAATGAAAAAATATACATAATTATGTACCGGTACTTGAAAAGTTATAACAAGAGTACATCATGCCATGGGGCGGGTCGGGGTTGGGGTTGGCTATAATGTACATGTACAGTGGTGGTCACGGCTGCCAAATTTGGATGGATATGAAGAACTAGTGGCTGAAAAGGCTATCTAAAACACTAAAACTAAAAATATGAGGAGTCTCTTGCAATTTATCAGTGTTTCGTCATAACACAGGGCATACTTCTGTTACAAGGTCAATTTATTGGGCTACCGTGGCAGTCTAATGCCGCGACCCAAAACGGCAAATATAGAAAAACCTACCTAAAATGCTCGAAAGTGAAACTAACGCGTTCTAAATCTGTCTAAAACTTCACCAGAGACGAACCCTAGCTTACACTACCAATCTACGGCATAACCCTTGTTCTTGATCACTGCCTTCATCCACTTCGGCATCGTTGCGACTATCCGGCGGCACAGGTCGGCATCGATGCGACTCCAGGCCGCCTTGCACTTCTCCCACAGCTCAGCCTCGTTCTTGCACCTCCTGCTGTTGTCCCAGTGCCGGGACAAGATTTCCCAAAGGTTCTCAATGGGATTGAGGTCGGAGCTTTGTGCGGACCACTCCATTACTTCGAACGGTTGATCATCGAGCCATCGCCTGGTTGCCCGCGCGTAGTGTTTCGGGTCATTATCCTGCTGGAACACAGTAGTTTGGCCACTGAACAAGTCCGTCATGCTTGGTACCATGCAGTTTTGCAGTATTGCGATGTACTGCTGGTGCTCCACCCGCCCGTTCACGCGATACAGCCGGCCAACACCGCCCGCACACATGCACCCGTATATTATTATCCCACCGCCACCATGTTTTACTGTGCCGCGGGTGCAGAGTGGGTTCAGGCGCTCTCCTCATCGTCTGCAGACGTTCTGAACACCATCCGAGCCCACCATGTAAAATTTGGACTCGTCACTCCATAAAATATTCGCCCACTGGTCAGGTGTCCAATCCTTGTGCTGCTTGGTGAACTGAAATCGCCTTTTTCTATTTTTCTCACTGATAAAGGGCATTTTGGCTGCGATTTTTGCCATGCAAATCAAATTGTTACAGACGTCTGCGCACCGTGCGCGCTGAAACAGGTGCCACGCTATCTCCAGCGACTTCTTTCAGCAGTATTGGTGCTGTTTTGAAGCGATCACCCATCGATAACAGGTTCTAGTGACGATCAAATCGATCCTCAGTCTTCTTTTTTGGACCAGGGCGTTTGGCTAGCCCTTGTTTTTCGCCTCCTGCACGATCCTCAGGCCAGTTCGCGCCGAGACACCCAGCACAGCAGCGATTTTTGAGGATTCTGATCCATCTCTACTCATTGCCACAATGGCCTCTCTCTTCCCAACACTAATGTCTGCCTTTCGTCCCATGGTGAGTGAATTTGAAACAATTTCCACGTGCAGTTGTGACTGCGACGTGTCAAAGAGATTTTTGAAGCTTCCCGGTACCATTTTGGTCGTCCATGGTATCCATGAGGTGCACGTGTGAAGCGTAGCGATCATGGTTCAACTTGACTGTCACGTGGCCACAGGCCATGTGTACCTAACTGAATGTGTACGCACATACCGGTACTTAGTGCATGCACTTACGAAATATTTTTTGCTGTCAAATCGCGTTGTTTTAGAGATCACGTCTTTAGGAAGAGATTTTGTGCAGAAATTTCGGTTGGATGTAGGTATTCTTGAGGTTTGGCCTATGTGGCCTAATCCCATGGCCACCACTGTACATGTATGTGGTGTCTAAACTCCTAGTAGTCACGGCTGTTCACGTGCAGGCACTTATCAATATGGCGTCGTTCGGTGCGATTTATGTAATATTGTGCGAATAGTACAAATACGCGATGAGTTTGCGTTTTTGCAAGAAACTCATGTCGATCCTCGCGTGGTTCCACGATTTGGGACGCGAAACCAAGAGAAAAGTTTTGAAAGCCCTCGAGCGAGATACTCGACTTTTCGGCAATTTGAGAGAGAAAGAGGGTGGAAAGGCGTCCTGGCCTGCCCAGTTAGCTGTCTTTCCGCTTCAAACTTGCTCGAACTACTCCTGGCAGTCTGGAGATTGATCTCGCCAGTGATTGTCAGCCTCTGCTTGGCGTGCTCGCGTGTACAACATTCAAGTTAGACATTTCGTAATCGTTCAACGCACAATAGGGTAGATATCACAATTTCAAGCTCACTTGGCCGCCTGCTGTCTTCTTCTACAATATCCCACATGCCGACTAAGCAATTTACAGCAGGAAGCAGCCTTCTACACTCAACAGAAACTAAATGGCCACACCATTTTGTCTTCCAAATCAAGAGAAACAGGTTCCTGACTCGTCGCGCGTATTTAGAAGTTCACGCGCGTATTCTAATGACACTTGGGGAAGACAACCAGAGGATAGTCCTCTACCTGGGAAAAAATCGATCTAAGCTGGGAAAAAATCGGGAAGGGCTTCTCGGAGCCGAGTTTGTCAGCGACGACACAAGGAGTATTCCAGAACGAAGCCAAAGTCGCACGACACAGAACAAATGTTTCTTGAAGGAAAGGCAGTCATGTGAGGTACGAGCGGAAAGCTTGAAACAAGACGCAGATGATCAGCGTGTTCCCCGGGCTGTCCGGGCTGACTAGTCTCCGAAATCCAGTGGAAACCATGGCCTACTCGTGTTCTGACGATTTGAAAATTCAAATTTTCTTGCCATCGAAGCCCAATCGAGACTTTCGGCGGCCATATTGGTAAATGGCGTGAAATCGCACAAAAAAACAGCCGTGTAGTAATAGTATTCGTGATATTTGTACATCTAAGAAGGACAATCTGCCGTTTTGTTCTGCTTCCGACGTGAATCTCAACGCCGGGTCACAGTCACCGGGAGGCTATTCGGAGTGACCGAGTCAGTACAAAAGTTTCACAGACACCCTCATCCTCATCGTCACAGTACATAGAGGGCCACACTGATAATGATGGACCGTGATAGATGCTCAGAGTCACAGAACCCTACAAGTACAAAATAGATTTGCCAATGCATGTACAGGACCACGAAGCGGCGAGCCCATGGCAACGCAATCTATTTGTTTATACATCATTTTCGTTCAAAGCCGGTGGAGTAATGCCAATGGACTTATTGTGTACTATACTACAAATGTAATGGACTTATTGTGGTACAGCGCGGTGTTGTTAACATGTTGCGCAGATGTCAATGGTTTCCCGTAGTGGCACGTTAGTAGATAAGCTGACCACGTCATACGAACACATAAATCCGCTCGATACAAAGTTTGCGTCCCTTATAGCTATACGAGCTTGTCTACAAACTCGAAAGTATCTTTGACGCAATGGCTATTGTAGAGGTTAAGTACCGGCTGTAGCATGGCACATAGCCACTTGGATGTTTTGAATTGTGGTGTTCCCGACATGCTGAGTATTGGGCGTAAGAGAATAGTATTCTCGTGAGGACTGGTGAGGACGCACGTACAACGCCAACGGAAGTGACACTAACAACAGTGAATATTCGAAAACGTGGTAGATCGCGAAAACGAACCTCGACATCGGACACCGGACAAGTTGGAGTAAGAAGCTCACCAGAAAACCGCAATGGAGACGTAGCTGAAAGGACACTGGACATTGCACACACAACGGCCAGTGTCAGGAAACGTGGAAAGCCGCGGAAACAGACAGAGACGGATAGTGGTGGTGCCGCGAAGAGACGAGACACAATCCTTCATTTTATCCATACTACCAAGGTCTCATCAGGAAAGAGATACAGTGGAACAGGAAACAGCAAGGCAAGCAGCCTGGTAAACATAGCACATAAAAAGAACTCAGCCTAAAGAAGTGAATGGTATGGAGTAGCAGAGAAGTATTCAGGTGTCCAGCAGCCTGAGTAATAATCACTAATGTGTACTTTATAAACATTAAAGGGACGGAGCAGTCATAGGAACAGGTATCCCGGTAACAGGAATAATGTATAACCATGATAAACAGCCCCCAAGAAAGACAGTAAATCAACAAAATTAATAATTCAGTGCATACCGTACATCATGAATTATTTCTTGGCATCTTGATCTCAGCCTCAGCCTTTGAGACCTAAATTAGTTGAAGGTGAAAATAATGTTGGCATGGTGGAGACTACCACACTGAAAATTAATGTGTAGATTTGCACTTTCCAGTACCTCATGGCTAGAGTAGAGGGATCTCTTGATTACAACAGGATGTCAATATAGGCCATAACACACACTGGTACACATGAGGCCGGCTACGCTAAGGAAGAATATAGAACCTGAATACATGTGTACAATTAGTCAGGTAGAGAGAGGCATAAAATATGAATGAATAAAACCGAGATTAAAAAAATGATGCTTTCAAACACGTCCCTCGGTCTAATAAATAGAACAGTAAATACAGTGAATATCCAAGACCTAGTGCAAGTCCAACATTCAGTGACGGCAAGACACTGCAATGACGCCTACAACACCTGCCAGCAAGACCCACGAGTGACCAAATCCCAACAGCAAAGCTGTCAGCCCGTATGCCTTGTACATAGAGCGACAGCTCATTGCCTGGAAAAGTAGTCCCACAACAGCTGGGGAATACATAAGTAACATGCCAAGCTTGCGACTTAGTGTCGAAAGAGTATTGTGATGAGATTTCCTCTGCTTGTGGTCCAGCAGCCATGAAAAGTGCAGCAACAGCATACAGTGGAATATCATTATCTGTGCAAAGAAAACAGACAAACAGGGTATCATACAGTAGAAAGAGAGAGAGAGAGAGGAAGTTGTGTTGGGACTCCAAGTTTCACGTTGCCACAGTCATCAGGCAACGAAAGCACATGATATACCCGTAAAGTCGTGTATAAAGGCCGCGGCTTATATAACTCTCAGGCGCGTACGCAGGGTCACCTCTAGGGGAGTTTCCAACCAAATCACAAACAATTATTAGTTTTTTATGGTAAAAAAGGAGAAGGACAAAATGTTACGAGTTATGACTAACTGTCCACCAACGTAACCAGATCTTATACAGTCAGCGAGTGCGAAAAATGGCACAACACTGACAAGGAATACTGAGACAGTCGGCGACCTGACACCTAGCTCCAACACTTCTCCAACACTTCTCCAAGGCTGACTGTATAAGATCTGGTTACATTGGAGGACAGTTAGTCATAACTTGTAACATTTTGTCCTTCTCCTTTTTTACCAAATTGGCTCACCATCCGAGTTCAACTTAATGAGGGTTTTTTTACCTTTTATTAAAGAGCCCTAGGACATTTTCAAAATTAAGCATTTTTTCGTGTGCCTTGTATCATAACTTCAGTTCTACTCACTCAATCTTCCTAATCTTGGGCTTCCTGGAAGTGGAAAAGTGTCCGGGATAGGAAGAATGAGGTCAACCATGATAGCCAGGACACTATACATGTATAAACAGCGCTAGAGTGCAGCGACGGTGCGAAAAATGCCCCAAAGGCCCAAACGCGTCCTGCTCTAGCAATTTCGTTTTTCTCGATCGCAGAGTTTTGATTGTTTGCTGTGTACTCCTGAGAATATCACAAGTGAAGCCCCTGCAAATTTGAGCAAATCAACGTGACGAAAAGTTTCAAATTCTCGATGCTCAAGTCGCACTGCGCGCTTTTGAAATTGCCAAGATCGCGGCGCAACTTACAAACGATATATCTCAAGAAAAATTGATCACAGCGCTTCGCGAATTGTTTCAACCGACAGCTGAGAGTTTTCTCTTCGACCTGGATATTTGGATCGTTGGATTTGAGCGCGATTTGACTGAGTTACGATCTCTTGAAGTTTTGCATTCTTGTCAGAACGATCACGCGCTCTACCAAAAATGCCCAAAAACGTTGCTCGTTTGGAACATTTGGGGGGGGGGGGTTCCGGGCAACGGGAAACCCCCCTGCGTACGCGCCTGACGTTTTGGGGAATTTTGCAGGCTTCTATATGAGACAGGCTTCTATACAAGACAGGTATGACAGGTACGTCAACACTAAAACCAGGCTTATGTGCCGACAGTGTATCTTGAAAATCAGGCTTCTAATAAAAACAGGCTTCTATATGAGAGCTTTAATACAAGACACTACGGTATGTGCCTGCATGTGGATGGCCATTACCGAAGAAAAAGTCTCCAACCACATCCAAAAACTAGGAGCACACGCTGCAGTGACTTGTGTGAATGACGAAGCATACAATGAATCCATCCTGGGCCACCAATATCCAGGAAAGTCTTTTGTGAGTGCATCCCATTTCACGACACATTGGGAACGACAAGGATGGCTCAAAACACAAGCTTTGAACTACCGTAAAGTCGCGGATAAAAGCCGGGCTTATAAGCACATAAGCCGCTTTCTGCATCAGGCTTTAATGCAAGCCACGCTTGTATGCAAACCATGCTTATATGCACCACTGATATTTTGCCAGGCTTGTATGCACATAGAAGCCAGGCTTCTACGCGCGACACGCGTAGATCTACCACTGACTACCGGTATGGCGGCAGTTTTACTATGCACCGTACATAGCGCATGCACTCTTGACCTACCCAATCCGCGCTTGCATAGAAGCCAGGCTTCTACGCGCGACAGGCTTATATGCATTTTACCCGTTTGATTTTCAGCTTCTATCCGCGATGTGCTTGTATGCAAACCCGGCTTTTATCCGCGACTTTACGGTATGCTACGAGTAAACAGTATATTGTCCACCAAAAAAGGGAACAGGAATGGAGGAGAAAGAAGCATGCACGTGGATCATTCGCCCTCTCAACCACACCAACAACCTACTACTTGCCATGATATCAACAATTTCACATGTTCCATCATCAGATACACCAAGTTGGAGTGCATGCATGTATCAGGCTAAGGGAGAAATGCACGAGTAATCACACTAACCTGTAAGAAGCCGTAAAAATAAGTTAATGAACCGGGCAGAAAGTGACCCTCCACAAAGACACCATGAAAGAACACCAGGCCGTAGTGGTCCGTTAGTAACTCTGCAACGAGGCAAGGGCCTGCATGGCAAGACAACACAACAATACCGACACCATACAGTCATACACTGGTATTCAGCACATTCATCTGCATACACTAAACCAGGGAAGAGAAGAAGATTCCATCTACAATCTAATGCAGCACAATATAGAAAGGAGTGCTAACGGCATCACGAGTCGCTGCTAAAGACAGCCTTGATCCACAAAAGCGTGCTCATGCACCAAAGCATCTCTTCAAAAGCCAGTAGATCCACAAAAGGGAATGGTCATGTTACTAGTTTCAGCATGCACGATAGAAGGCAAAAAGTGCACAAGCAGGCACACAGAGTGATGGGCAGCAAAAATGCTGGAAAAGCCATACATCTTCAAAATCTTGAATGTCAACCGGTATGTGCTCGTACTAATCGTACTAATATCAGTGCTGCATGTAGAGATGTGACTGTAAGGTAGACCATTCACTCACCAAGACCAACATAGATGTGGGCAGTACAAAAGCATGTCAATAAAGGGAGATCCTTTGCAAAGCAGCACAGCCCTCGCCTAGTTGACGGAAACCAATTCCACGCATGGCCTAGAAGAGACGCAGCAAATAAACACGGCTTGAGTGTGTGGAGTTGAGTGTTGCACACACTGCCACAGTAATGCTAAACAGCAAGTTTGGCTGGTGAGTAGCTGTTGGCCAAGCTCAATACACAAAATACAACTTTGATTCAGCAACAAGGAGGACTAATTTTGCTGTAAGAATTTCCTATTCGTCGACATGCATGAATAAAATGTAAAACGATGATTGTAGGGCGCACAAGGATTTGTTCAGAAAGGTTTTTTTTGCGACGAGGTTTGATTGTTCGGAGGTTCTTCCAAAATGAAATTGATTGGTAGATTTTGTTCTCGCGTGCAGTTACGGCCCAATCTTACAGTACATGTACTAGGATCCAGTGAAATTGTTAGGTCGATAAGCACCAAAATTAATGGTGAATCAACGAAATCTAATCAACCATGAAAATTTGATTCACGAGTGCACAGAATAGTATATTGAGGTAAAATTCATAATACAAGTGTAAATCAAATCACTATCGAGAACTTCACTTCGTTACGGAACTGGTACTTACTGCTGGGGGACGGCAATACCAGTCTGGGGTGCCATCTTGCTACATACAGCACTGCAATCACTGCTAACCAGGCACCGACAAACGCCAGCTTGAACTATACCAAAGACCGCAAATCCACAATGTAGGAGAATGTGCCAGTGTATAGGTAATGCGAATGATGTCATTGCATGCATGGTATTGAGTGTAAACCAGTGTTTATGGTACCACAGTTTTCATGGATTTGCCACTCCATAATGATGACATAATCGTATAACCTCTATATCCAATGTCGCCTAGGGGCATTAGGTCATAAATTAGGGGAAAAGATGAAAGCCAAGAAGACATCAAGCACTGGTGTAAGGATCACTTAGTTGGGCAGATGCTGTACATGTGCAGTTTAGCATTATCATGGCAGTCATGCAGCAAAGTGCACAGTGGGATATCAAGTTTCAATTGTGGCTACATGTAGAAGAGTTACGAACTCAGCCTGAATGATACTGTTCATTGCATGGCTAGATATCTAGCATTGGGACCTACCATAAATGCCAGATCGAGGCGGAATATTGCTGTCGGAAACCAGCGCAGCTTCACACGGCTGTTATCCAGAGAGAAGACATGTCCCATCTTGGCTTTGAACTTAGTGTCCTGGACAAACACAGCAATGCAACAAGCATTTCACCAGCAGAATCAATAGCAAGACCTGTAGACCCTGCCTGGATCCTGTAATGTAGAATTCAAGCAGGAATGGGATTAAATAAATGCTACCGTTTCTAAATTTACGAGTGCGAATATTCAATAAGTAGAACAATCAAACAAACACAAAGTCTTGACAGTCTCCATCTCTCCCTGGGCTGTAACGTTTCAGTCAGTGCCATAATGTACAGGAATATCATGATGTGTGGATATGTGACGTTACACTGCAAGGCGAGCAAGCCATGTGAATGCAGATTTCAGTTTGAGTCTGCGCTACTTTGAAAACGTCGGCCATCAGCTCCACCACCGTCGCAGCCGCCGCCGCCACCACAACCACCACTAGAGAGGCTTGAGGGGATTACAACACTAGGGCGTGAGAAACGTACAGATAATAGTTGCAGCCACAGAGTACCGGCAAGAATGGATCACTTACCGACGCTTCCACAGTGACCGTGTGAAATCCCTCGCTGTAGTCACTGGGCGACCAGCGTATCACGTACAGATGCGAGCCAGTCGACGTCGGCACAGCATTGCCTAGCGCTCTCCCATCAATGAATACCTTAACAGAGGTGATGATACGTGGGGAGAAAACCAGTACCCTGCAATCATTGAATGCACAAAAGACTAGGCTTGATCAAGACAATACCTGTAGAGTCTGTGGAACCTCTGGATGACTGACACCAGAGGGACGAGATATATCTGCCCTGAAAAAAAGGATATATCCTGATTACAAAATTCTAAAAAAATTAAAATTAAAAGACTGGGAGCAGTGCAGTTTGGACTGAACAATGACTATGTGTCCTCAATGCAGAGTTGTCCTTAGTCGAAAGAGCACTCAGGCCAGTAAGCTGGATTCTAATGCACACGACATACTCAGAGCAGGGAAGTGACGATCATCAACCCCCCTCTGATTTTAGAAATTAATGGAGCTCAAACATTTAGGAACATGTATGCGGGGAAGACACGTTTTTAGGTAAGCAGAAATTTTAGGTACCACAGACAGAACAGTGCTGACCAGTGAAAACCACCCCGATAGATGAAGTTGCGGCAGGCTCTGCAATGCTCAACTTGTAGGAGTATGAACACTAGGACAACAGTGCTGCTTTAGTCATGGGGACCGTCCAAATTCACTGGTCACCACTGACTGGACTACAGAGAAGCAGTTCTATCAGAGGATGTGTGTCGGGTGATTACGAGCATACATGTATTGAATCTTAAGGTAGCGAGGAGGCAAACAGAAATACACACCTGCATGTTTTCGAGGAGAATGCATTGCATACATGCACGCGCTCACACCTGCCACGCTACAATAGCTGACACTGCATACCTGATGTGCGAGGAGTGTTTCATACGGCCAAGGGGCTCTCTATTCCTGACATGAAACTCGGCACTCTTTGGGTTTGTGATTAGTACGATAGGAAAATCATTGAATTCATAGTCACCAAAAGACAACAGGTGGGACGGGAGGTTCGCTGGCCATATTGCAGTGCCCGTTATAAATTCGCTTGAATCTCAGCACTCAAACATCAGAATTCCTTCAAATTTTCAGTATATGTTCCTTGACATCCACTGACGACATTGCAACCAAGAACTGTGGAAAGTATACTGGTATCATGGAGAAATGCAGGAAAGCAATTTTGGAAAAAATGCGATAGCCGGGCATGATTTCTGCGCAGTTTTTCTCAAACACGGTCACTTGAAGATAAACACATAACACTGCAAAATGATCAGGTACCAAGGGGCTAGGGCTGTTGCCTAAGCACAATGCGATTACAGTTCCCATGGTGTGCCACTGCAGCCTTGAAATAACAATGCACGTGCGCAAGATAACTTGACTGAAGTTCAAGGTCCATTATTTTGTTTCTAACAGAAGATCTTGTGTCCTAAGAAGGCAACGGATCTAGAATGGACCGTACAGAACCAGAAAATATATACTTTTACATACAAGATATGTACAGCATTTCTAAAAAACTGCGCGGAGTGCCCATAATACCCCTAAAATCAGTGAAAAATGCACCTAAAAATTACATAAAAAGGACTGATAGTGGAGTGCTACTGAAATATTTTCACATATCTGACCTGAAGTTGCCATTCAGAAACCACCTTTGTCATATGTAGTGCCCTCTTTCTCAATAGTGGTCTCCTCCCAGCCTTTCCTCTGCCTCCTTCTCCTTTTCCTGCTCTCCTTTTCCAGTGCTGATGACTTGCGGAGGGACTTCTTCACACGCCATTGGTCTTCTAGCTCAAGCGCTGCCTTCGTGTGATTGCCATCAATGCATCCACACTCTTTCAGCACACTGAGCAAGGTGATAGCGCCGTTGTTGAAGTTGAGCACTGCCAAACTACTTGCCAGCTGAACGGTGTCGACGGAGCAGAAGCCTTCCTTCGGACGCATTCTCCAAATGACGTTGTTGAACGACTCGTTCGCATTCTGCGTTGCACCCATCTGGCAGCGCTCCAGCAGACTTCGTTCGGACAGCTGCATGTAGATGGGCTTCACGACTTCGAACACAGCCTTTGGGAGAGGGTTCTTATGAGGCCTCCGCGTGTGCCCACAGACCGCTGCCAAATATCGCACGCAGCTTCACTCTCCATACCGGGTGCAGATGCCGCTGTGTTTATGCTGCACTTGTGATTATCCAGCCAGGTTGAAAAGGCTTCCTCCGTGATTGCACCACTTCGCTTCTTCTCAGTCCAGATCTTACATTCGTGACAGTATCGACCCTTCACTGTGATGTCCAGTACACGGCCGCTCTGGAAGGAGATGCACGCGAACACACCATACAGCGACGAATATCCCCTGCGCATCCAAGTGCCGTCGAACGTCACTGCGACGTGGGTGGAATCTGTCATGGCACGCAACTCAGCTGCGGATTGAACCATGTCAGTTTCAGCTAGCTTTACGGCTGCAGCAAGGACAACTTCCTGGTGGCTGCGGTACGCTTTCTCCGTTACAGGAGCAGGAAAATTCATTACGCCGCAAAACTTTCGGAGTCCACCATGGCCACGTCCAATGCATCGCATCGCCAGTACAGATCGTCAATTCAGATCATAGCTCCTGCAAATTTTCTTGCTCAGAGACGTACTTCCACTGTGTCCACACAAAGCGCATTGAAGTCGCAGGGTCGATCCAAGTCCAGTGTCATGACAGTTACTGACGATCATGTCTCCCTTCGTGCACTTCCTACAGACAGTAAATTGATCCATCAGTTCCTGGAGACACTGTAAATCCACGATCTTGTAGCCAGAGACAGACTCCTCAACATCAGGATAGAATGCATCATCATCATACTCCTGGCAGCTATCACTGGACGACTCGTCTGAATCACTGTCACTCGAGCACACAAGCTCAGATTCAAATTCCATGACCATAATTATCACTAAGCCATTTTGGCCTCGACGAAATCTTCCGAGAGGAAGCGCTCTGCGCCGCTTCAACGGTGCCTTCTTCCACAACTGGTACAGAGCTTGACTGCTTTGGGGCGTAGTATCTCCCTTTCTTCCTCCTATGGCCACTTCCAGAGCTGCTGGTGCTTCTCTTTCGGTTCCCCATGTAAAATATTTAATTGTTCACTTTCACGATCACAAACAAAAAAACAAAGATTTTTTCCTTCGCGTGGGCGTCGTGGCGCTGCAGAACGTCATACGCGATCAAGGAAGCACGTGGCAGCTCTCCATGACTACAAAAACAGAAGCCAGGGTCGCTTACCTGGCGAAGTTGAATCAAAAACGCTTGATTTTGGACTAAACCAAAGTCACAAAATTAGGCAATTGTAAACATTTGAGTATGTACATTTGAAATTTATCTCGACATACTTTAGCTCATAACTCCACTTCTACTAAACCGATTACGCTCAAATTTGAAATTCTGGCGCTTCAAATATCCTAAGACAAGATTCCATAGCAAAAAGTTCAAAACTCAGAAATTCATTTTTTGACCCTCTGAACCTCCCGTCCCCCCTTAAGGTAGCGAGGAGGCAAACAGAAATACACACCTGCATGTTTTCGAGGAGAATGCATTGCATACATGCACGCGCTCACACCTGCCACGCTACAATAGCTGACACTGCATACCTGATGTGCGAGGAGTGTTTCATACGGCCAAGGGGCTCTCTATTCCTGACATGAAACTCGGCACTCTTTGGGTTTGTGATTAGTACGATAGGAAAATCATTGAATTCATAGTCACCAAAAGACAACAAGTCATGGTCGAATGCCAGAATTCGAAACCTTGAAACATGAAAAACATGAAAACAGAGGAAAAGAAACAAGTGAGCCAGTGTAGTTAAGGCTGTCACCACACTATATTCACTGACCCCCGTTTACGTCTATGGTAAAAATTCAAAACGGGTAGTCGTGCCATCACACAGGCACAGTTCTTGCCCCATACAGTTGGTTATGTTTTTGGAGAAAATTGGAAATTCAAGCGCACGTACATGCACATGTACAAGGTCGCTTGGAAAAAGACTGGGAGAGATACCCGGTTTAGCTGTATACCCCCCCCCCCCCTCCCCCCTCTCTCTCTCTCTCTCTCTCTCTGTCCCTGTCACGTCTACGTTTCCCGTTTCCTCTGCTCCCGTGCTCATCATGGCAGCCGACCAAAACCTCCCTACATGAACGTAGACGCAGCGCTTTGTACCGTAGTGTGATGACAGCCTAAGGGAAGAAGTCACACCAAAGGGAGGCGAGGTTGGCCATGTTCAATTGTAGATTCTGCTAGGACACATGTCTACCGTTCGGCCTGTGCGACTCACCCCGTACATTCACAAAGGTTCTGAATCTGATTGTCTGCATTGAGTGAGTGCATTCTCCGGTCATGCAGTGTGAAGCTGCTGGTGGTTTATCTCGACGACTGGCTCATTATTGCACGGAGTTCGGTCACGGGAAGCTATAGCGTGGAAGCAGCCATCTACCTCCTGGAGCATCTCGGGCTCCAACTGAATCTGCAAAAGTCCGTCTTGGAGCCAGTGCAGTCCCTGGAATACCTCGGTATCAACATCTCTTCTGTTCACTCTTCCAGAAGCTGTCTGCCATCCAGAGCGAATGCTGACGTCTCTTGAACCGTGGCACTGCAACATTAAGCGAATCGAGGCACCTGAACGGGAAGCTTCAAGATGCGTGGAAGGCGATCCCACTGGCATAGACTTACAGTTGGTTGATCACTACAGTGGTTGCAGAACAGAGCTCCACCACTTGGGTTGATCACCCTCAACGTGGAGTCTATAACCAACCTCCGGTACTGGATTTGTCAATCGTCAGACGAGAATGGCAAGCCAGTCACCTCACACCCACCATCGGTCACTTTAACAACGGATGCATCCAATATGGAATGGGGTGCTGTGTGCGAAGACTGGTCTGCTCAACGCCTGTGGACAGTAATCGACCAGGGTCACAGCAATCTGAGGTAAATGGCGCAACGGGAGCTACTGTGCGTGTCGAGATCCACAATGTGATGGTCGTTGCTCACATCAACATTCAACAACCAAAGAGGAACTCATTCGCTTGCTCTGTGTTGGTTCGCACAAGAGATATGGCTCTAGGCGCAGCCCCGACGACTTCACCTAGTCGCAGTCCACATTCCGGGAGGTGTGAATGACTTGGCCGACCGGCTGTCTTGGACAATGACCATGGACAGCAGTGACTGGTCGTTGGACAGGCAGGTGTTCCGCTCACTACATCAGTGGTTCGGCCCCCTTGACATCGACCTGTTTGCAGCCAGACACAACCGCCAAATGGACCGATGCATGAGTTGGTGTCCAGACCCACAGGCCGAGGCGGTAGATGCATTGAGCCTTCCGGCAGACAAGTGGGAGAATGCATATCTGTTCCCTTCATTCTGCCTCATCAGCCGATGCCTGAAATTTATCGCTACTAGTACTCACCGAGTACGGCGAGTACGGCGAGCGCTACTGGTAACGCCGGTCTGACCAAGCCAGACATACTATCCAATGTTATTGTCCATGGTGACGGACCTGACTTGCATGCTACCTCGATACTCCTGACATCGCGTCCGCCCAGCCGACCGGCGGTGTCTAGTACGATCGCACAGTGGCTGAAGGATACGCTTTCCAAAGCCGGGTATGGCGAGTTCTCAGGGCACTCGACTCGTGGTGCTGCCACGACTGCGTTCATGCAAGGTGGAGTATCCCTTGCTGATATTCTAGCCACCGCCGACTGGAGGTGTGAGCGCCCCTTCATGGCTCACTATTACCGTCCAGCTGATACTGGTTTTGGCACCGGTGTCTTAGCGACTGGCAATTTGGATACTCCGACATAGGAACCAGGCCGTTCCATCTGCTGTTGCTAGAGGCTGGGCGCATCCACTTCTTCGTGAGCTTGACTGCGGACATGTTGTGCTCTTATGACAGTTACATGTATATGTATATACTGTTTATCCCAATTATTCCCATTATTTCCGGCACTCCGAGAGCTGCCAATCACTTCACTCCGCATGATTCGCCGAATAAGGCTTGGTTATGCCCTTGGCTGAGTTGGTGGATCACAATGAAAGTCACACTGTCACATTCGAAGCCGAAGCTCCGGAGTGTAATCGTAGATTCCGCTAGGAGCCATTATAGAGTTCGACGTGGAAATCCGGGTTACACGAGGAGTGAAGGCGAAGAATGTGACAGTGTGTTCCCGCGCATTGAGCTGGCGCCACCCACCCCTCACTGTCGTTCCTTTTCGATCATTACACTATCACTTGGTCGCTCAGAAAAGGCCAAAGAAAGCAAGAGGTGCAAGGGGCTATCAAGGGGTGCATTTTCATTTTTAATAATTTTATTTCATCTTTAACCTTGCGTGTCCCCGTTGATCTCAGAATTGACAACGTAATAGCTTACCCAGACATCCCTACAGGGTCTTTCAATGCCATCATCATACTCAAACATGAGAACTAACCGTCGATTCACACGCCAATCGGCCAGCTCAAGCTCCAACTGCCCAGAGGTTTGCTGCGCGTACAAGTGATCGGCAAGGCCGCCCAAAACATGGAGATGTCCACTGAGGTACGCGGTTCCACCGCTGTGCCATGCAACACACACACACACACACACACACACACGTGATGACAATGACAGCATGTGAGAAGGGGGTGGCGGTAAACTCACAAGGCTTTGAAGCCCCCCCCCCCTCCCCCCCCCCTCCCTTCCCATCTATCTGGTATACTTGTACCTTCTTCACTGGCCTCTGGAGACACACTAGATACTACTTCGAAGTACAAGTGCAAACCAAGCATAAATGATGACCACTCCGTTCCACACAGCATAGACAATAAGCCTAATCTACAGCACAATGTTGCACTGTACAAGAATTTCATCGGGGCCCATGGCACAGATTGAAAAGCGTCACAAATAACCTACGCAAGAAAAGAGCGAAGGGCACCAAAGTACGGCTGGTGGATGAACGATGACGGATAGTGTCCGTAAAATATAGTGTGGTTACTCTTTGATGCCAATGCTCTTGCATGTTGAAGACTGACCAGCCTCTCCTAAGCACAGTAAAGTAAAGCAAAGTTTGCACGTTCGCGTTACAACCGGCTATACAATTGTAATGAGAAACACAACCAGCATAGGAAGTTGTTTGCTTGTGCCACGCCATCACCATGCCTGTGATACCAGGGTGAAAGATACAGCGCCTAACGGCGAGGGTGAGGTGGTAAATCTTGCAACCAATGCCCGACAAGGGGGCGAACCTCGTTACCTGCATCCATGTTACCCTCACTCCGAGTAGTGAGTACCCAGTTAACCGTGGGTATCGGCGCAGTTCATTGCATGTTCACGCATGCATCACCGCATTTGTTAGCACAGTACACGCTCCCTGCTCCCAGCGCGGGTCTCGAATTCGGGATCTTGTGAATCGCAGGCAAACCCACAACCACTCGGCCAAAGCGAAGTACAGTACAGGTGATAAATTCATCAAACTAAACATACGATTGGACGGTATGCCGAGGCCATGGCCATAGGTACTACATGGAAGACGAATGCAAAACTATGACCAAGCAAAAAATGACCACATATCATTGGCACAATCATGATTAGCTCAAAGTTCTACAGAAAACACACATATGGCTGATGCAAAGCATTCTGAAAAATCACTTGATGTTGGGGCAGCATTCAATGTGAGAGAAGAAGAGAGCACAGGGCCGCATGGCCTAGGCAACCAACTGCAAGCGATTTGTTGGAATTTCTTTGGCATTGACTAAACATCAGACACTGGGGACACAAAAGAACAAGTTCTAAGTTGACACTTGCAAGTGTCTCGCTTAGACAATCCTGTCCTTTGTATAGATTTTTCTGAGAATTTTGATTGTGTCTCCTTGGAAATCTGGTCAAGGTAGCAAAGACGTTTGCAACAAAGATACCGTGTGGTGTGATTGCTAGCACTATGTTCTGTGTAGATTGAGGTACTAGATTCTATAATAGAATACAATAAAAAGAGAACCCATCCCATGCCCAACACATGTTCTTCATACGTCCATTGAAACAACTTGACATTTTGACATTGTTTCAAGGACTCTCCAACATGAAATAGATGCCTATCAAATGGAGTCCCCTAACACACAGCTACACACAACAGTTACCTCGTCGATTATCCCGAAAAAGTTGAACGGGCGCTTTGGTCCCGGTCTGGGCACTGCGTCAACTGCAACAAATGAGTAGTTACCGAAGGGCGTCGTGTGAACATAGAGCGCCTCATGACCACTGGTCTTCGGTGCATTGTGGATAGAAAATGACCTGGACAACCATGGGAACAAATAAATAATGTAGACGATGGTCATTAGCAGACAGCCAGCACAGCATCAAAAGCCAAATATAGCTGAAGACCATAACTAAGAAGTTTTGGGTTCCTTTTCACAACACACGGTCAAACAGTGAGGGCACCACAGACAATAAGACACAAACATCAGTCACTCAAAACAAACACACCACGTACCGGTAAAGGGAGTCGTAGCCGCTCTTCATCGGTGTGTCAAAACCATCTGCGACACACATCGTATTCACAATCACAGCTCACAAATTCTTGAAGTGATATTTCAGCAACTACCGGTTATTCAAAGAGGCCCAAATGCGAACGGTCCGTGGGTCTTCCAGCAATCTCAAACAGGATATTCATAGCAGCGAGTCATTCTGCATGAGGCTAGCCAATAATGGGGATGGGAAGGTGGTATATCACAGGCACTGGAAATTGCCTGAGCATTCCGGAACTGGACTCGGATGGAGAGCCAATGATTAATTTATACAAAAGAAAATGGACCAAGGAACTAAAAGTTACACTATATTCATTCAGGAACTCTGTAACAAAAACAGATAACTTGAAACAATAACGGAAGGCTCAGTTACTCGTTGATAAAGCCAAAAATCAATTCATTTCGTGCTACATTTTGTCTGCTGAAATGCCCAAACGGACTCGGGAAGTTGTGACCCTCCTGTGAACAGATTTCGGGAGGTTTGCAATGGGTAAAAATGGCAGCAGCACCATATGCCTGAGCCTTTAGCACATACGTGCGACAGAACCATATTTTACTGATTTAAGTCGACCTTACGTGCACTAGAAAGCGAATTCAAAACCGGGGGCAACTTACAACTGGGAATCAATGTAAAATTTGGAACTCAGTGTATGCAAATTTCAAAAGTTCAAAGTCTCTGCCAGTGGTACACTGCACACAGTATTGCAGTGTACCAGTACTGTGTAGTGCCCTGAACACTTTGCAGTTACCGTATTATCTCTAATATAAGCACGGTCCTTTATTTTTTTCAATGTACCTCCGCCCCGTGCTATTAATGGAGACGTTCCTTTATTGGAGACTGTTCCATTATTATTTCAACCTCATTTCAGAGACATGTTGCCATGCCAAATTCATGTGGGACACACACATTTCAGGGGTTTTTCGCCGGTACAGATAATGAATTTACACAGTGTGCTTATAATGGAGACCGAGCACTTTATTTTTTGAATGCCGCCCCAAGGTGTTCTATTATTGGAGACGTGCTATTATTGGAGACTGTGCTTATATTAGAGATAATACGGTATACTACTTGTAAGTCCGCCTGTGTCTCACTATTCCACAAAACAGTCAGTCAACTGCACGAGTGGGTCTGAAATGAAACGATGTGATTGTGTGAAGATCACTTATACATTACAGTGTTCGGGGTAGAAACAACACATTAGATTTCCATGAACTACTGTAAAAGCAGAAATTTTCCGTGGTGTTTTATTTTCGGTAACTTCGGTGCGGACAATTTTTACCGGAAATAAAACGCACCGTAAATTTCGGTACAACCGGTACTGTATACATGTAGTACTAGTGCACTTACCTAGAAAACGGGTTTTACCGAAAATTTCCCTCCACCGAACCGCCGATTTTGGAGAATACCGAAAATATTACACCACCGAAAATGTCTGCCTATACAGTACTTGCAGCTAGAAACCGATCATCTTCATCAGCTCTGGACCCTCACCATGATTGCCTCGCAAATCAAGAAACGGATAGTGTGCCTGAGCACCACTGGCATGGACTGCGGCCTGATAGCGCTGCCATTCATCTCTGAACTGATGGCTGGTAAGATCACCTGTGAATTTCACACGGGGGAAAAGCATCCGTGAGTGATCGCTGCAGAGCAGTGACTTGAAAAATACAATACGCCTTTTTCTCATCAGCCACTACACCATAACTGCGCTTTCCAGCCGACCTCGACACGTTGGCACAACACACCATCAGCAAAGCGACACCAACGGATGTGTCGCTTTGCTGATGGTGTGCTGTTGCAACGTGTCGAGGTCGGTTGGAGAGCGCAGCTATGGTGTAGTGGTTGATGAAAAATCTTTACAGGGTTGAATGCTGCTGTTCACCCTTTGATTTAATACATTAAATAATACAAGCTTTAGAACATTGTATGCACTACATGTACCAGCAAAGCCACATCTACCGCATGCCGGGTATAAAGGCCGGGTTTATTCCTGTAGAAGCCAGTGACTAAGAGGGTTGTAAGTTACTTCTACTCAGTTCAGGCTTCTACTAGTATATCAATCAGGAATTTCTATATAATTACGAGTAGGAACACAGAAAAAAACTTGGATTAGGTGCCACAGGTCTATCTTGAAAATCAGGCATGTGTTCAAACCAGGCCTCTACACAAGACAAGTTTTATTTACAGGACAGTACGATATTATGACTTATCGGTCGAAGTAACAGGATCAAGTCATTTCATGAGCAATGGAGCAGTAGACGTTGGACCACAGTGATGTAAACAGCTCATAGTTGACTATCTCTCACCTGTGATTAAGATCAGAGCAGGGCTGATGAACGGCAAATGAGCACCACAAAAGGTCTCCAAATCCCCTGACCGATTCGGATCATAGTAGCGATTGACATGTATATCAGAAATCTGCAAACGAGTACACAAGTGTGTCAAATAGGCATCAACATCACTGAGAAAAAAGAATCCAGTCTACATGCAAACTGTAGGCTACAATGGGACTCACGTAACATGTACCAAGGTAAGAGTAAAGGTGTGGAACTTTCAACAGTTAGGAACCCTTGCTGTACACTTTCCGTGTATGCAGCTTTGTAATTTCATTCCGTCAGAAATTGGCACTTATAGTTATAGTAAGTTAACTGCATTTCATTGTATCGCTATCGAGCATCAACCACTATGCAATCAGAAGAACGTTGACCGTATTAGACATACCGGTATACCCCTCTAACTATCGTCCCGTATAACGGTACTGTTGCTGCCTATCCTGTCAAAAGTACTGGAGAGCCGTGTCCGGAAGGATCTTGCCACCCTTGTTGAGCACAACAGTGTATTGCCTGACACACATTTTGCTTTCAGGCGAGGCCATTCAAAGGAGGATGCATTGGTTCCATTCACTGACCGCATCTTGAAGACCCAAGACAAGCGCTTGGTTACAGGAATCTGCTTCCTTGACATGTCCGAAGCCTTTGACAAGATCAGGCACAGTCGGCTGATCTTAGATCTGTTCAGCACTGTCGTTTCAGGAGTAGCACTGAACTGGCTTGTCGACTATCTCTCTGCCCACGCTCAGCAGGTTGGAATAGCAGGGAAGCGCAATCGTCCTCAGCCGTGTACATGTGGGGGTCACCGGTGCCCCAAGCCTCTGCACTGCCGGGTCCCCTACTGTTCAGTCTCTACACCAAAGCTGTCCCCTCCATTTCTGCTCCAGCCCAACCGCTGCAGTTTGCAGATTGTACTGCACTGTAGCAAGACCACGGTTACCATGGTTACCGAGGCTTCCACAGCCCTGCCCGATGCTGTCACACAACTAGCTGGGTGGCCTAAAGACCCTAGTTTGATCCTGAATGCCAGCAAAAGCCAGGTGCTCACCATCTCACCTACCCGTAATGTGCACGAAGAGGACACCCCAGTGACGTGTCAGGGTACCATTCTGGGGTTTTTTATTTTTTTATTTTTTTTACTGAATACCACAGAACCATCAGATGCTGCACAGCGGGGGCGGTGGCATATTGGATGGAAGTGGGGGCGGGGCAACAGTAACTCCTCCGACCAAAGGTCTCGGAATCATCGTTACTCCTGTGCGCCGATACATAGGAGAAAAGAAACATGTGCATCCAAGAGGGAAGCACCGGCTTTGCAAACGATAATGGGGAGAATTTGAGATTGAGATAGGACAAAACAATAGTAAAAGCAGTGCCCCGTAGGAAGATGGAGAGAACTGATAATCGGATATTAAGGCTGAGCGAAGGGGATCAAAGAGGGGTAGAAGGGAGCTGGAGTGCGGTCAGTATAATTTGGCTGGTGTGTTGGCTGCGATGGAGAGATCATAGCCTGTCTGTGGCCCACTCCCACTTGCTGCGCCGCAAGTGGTCGTTGACATTTTTCTTGAAGGTGTTCATACCTTTGCGAGAGGGGGAAGACTGCAGAAGGGTAGGTGGGAGCTGATTCCACGTTGCGATGAGGGTGTGGGGAAATGAGCGGAGCGTGTTGTTTCGTGACTGAGGAGGAAGGATACTGGTGAGTTGTGATGGATGATGAGCTGCAGATCTGGTTGTCTCACGAGTAGACATGCGGCATTGCGGTGCGGCTCCTGATGGTGGCAGAATGGCTTTCACCATTTCCGGACCCTCCACAAAGTGCAGCTTGTACACAAAGCAGAGCCCTGCTACGGTACGGCGAATGTCGAGGCTCGGGAGGTATGATCCATCTCCAATTATGTGCAGGGCACGGCGCTGGATGGCAGTGAGGCGGGCCAAGGTGGTGGGGGCTGCGCTCATCCACACCAGCATGCCATACTCTAACACAGGGCGGACAAAGCCACGGTACACGATTGCCCGGTGCTTTGGGTCTAGCACAGCCGATGCCTTACGGAGAAAGCCGAGCCGCTGGGCTCCGCGTACTGCAAGCTGTCGGATATGGCTGTGGAATGCCAGCTGCCTGTTGAAGGTGACGCCAAGAAGCTTGAGCTCCTCTACTTCTGGCACGACTGCTCCTTGGCGTATTGCGTTCGGGGGGGGGGGGTTGGCGAGCGGTGGTGGCTGATGGTCAATGCCTGCGACTTTGTGGGCTCGAACTTGATCCTCCACCTGCTTCCCCATGCTGCCAGTGAGTCTACTGCCTGCTGGAGGATTGCTGTCTCTTCTGGCAGTCTGAGTCGAGTGGTGATGCACTTGTAGAGAGTTGTGTCGTCGGCGTATATAGCCAGCTTCGACCCATCAGGCAAGTGGTCTTCTGCGTCGTTGACGTACAGAAGGAAGAGGGTGGGGCCGAGGATGCTGCCCTGCGGCACACCAGATTGGATTCGGTGGGTCGGTGAAGACTGGCCGCCTATGACGACACGGATGTGGCGGTCTGTCAGGTAACTCCGGAGCCAGGCAAGGAGGGGCCACTTATGCCGCACCGCTCAGCCTTGTGGAGGACGCCGTTGTGCGAGACCTTGTCGAAGGCCCCGGCAATATCTACTGTGAGTGTCTGTCCGATGTTGCTGCTGTCAAGCACCTTGGGTTTCATCTGGTCCGGACTCTGGGATAACTTGGGAGACCCACCTGGACAGCACTGTGGGCTGTGCATCAAGGAAAGTGGGTGCACTTTGGCGGCCATGCAGGTGTCTAACTCTTCCCTCCTGCATCAGATGTACTGTGTCGGTGATCATGCGATCGAGTTTGTTTCACAAGTGCAGCTACCTTTGGCAGGACCATACCTACACCTAGATTTGTGCTAGTGTTAATGTATGACCAATATGACGACGAACGAAGACATGGACTTGGCTCCGCTAACCTTCGAGGAGCTGCTCGCCGTTGCTCAAGCTACAGGACTGGCCAACCCGGACTCGACGGGCCGACAAGACTTGGTTGTTGCCCTTCGAAAGGTAGGATTGGGAACAAGGAAGTCACCAGACCAAAATTAATGGTAACTAAACGACCTGCTATCCACTTTCCGACAATCAGGTTTCAGAAGAGGCAGGAGCACGGCAGACGTCGTATGGACACAGCGTTGGATGAGTGCTAAGACACAGAGGCATCCATTCACCTACCACATGCTGGGAATCGACATGAGTCGTGCTTTTGACACTATCAACAGGCAGCGGCTATTGGAAGTGATGGATGGAGTAGTTGGCCCAGACGAACGCAAACTCTTGCGACTGCTCCTGGAGAGAACTACCCTCGTGGTCCGTGTTGGACAGGCGACCTCAGAGTCGTTCAGTAACACAGTTGGAACACCACAGGGCGATGGCCTAAGCCCAGTCCTGTTCACCTGTTATCTCGAAGCGGCCCTGAGGGATGTCCTGTCCCATCTGCCACCCCGTCCAGAAAGCGATAGACTACTACCCCATGAGAGCAGGTATGCTGACGATGTCAACTACTACAGCACAAGTCTAGATTGGTTACGAGCTGCACTGCCGATCATTGCGAAGGTCCTTGAATCCTGGTCGCTGTACGTAAACACCCAGAAGACGGAATGGGTCACAATATCGTCAACAACAGAAAATTGGAAAACAGTAAAGCAGCTGGGATCACTCATGGCAACTAACGAAGACATCCAAAGGCGAAAGCAGCGGGCAACGATTGCCTTCAAGAACATGTACACTCTGTGGCTGCGGAGGGAGCATGTCTCAGAAGCTCGCAGAGTTCGCCTCTACAACGCATATGTTCTGCCGACCCTATTGTACAATTGCTGTACGTGGGGATCAACAAAGGCAGTCAGTGACAAGCTGGACGTGTTCCACAGGCAACAGCTTCGCTCGCTACTGGGCATACATTACCCCAATCGTATCACAAACATCGAGTTATACCGGAGATGTCAGAGCCAGCCCATCTCCGAGGAAGTCCACAGACGAAGAATGACCATGCTGGGACATGTCCTACGCCTACCCGAAGACACACCACCGCAACAAGCCATGGCACTCTACTTCAATCCACCGAACACAGCCAAGCCAGGAAGACCTCTGACTACTTTAGTCACCCAGATCCAGCAAGACTGCGTCCACAGACAAACGCCACTCAAGAGGAGCCCGCATCTGCAGAGCCTCCGGCAGAAGGCATCCGACAGGCAAGTGTGGAAGGCCTTCGTAAAAAACGCACAGTGAACACTGACGAAACAGAAGTTGCCCATCCTTCTCAGTGCTATTTGCTTATTGTCGATTTGTAAACCGTACCTTGCAGTCCATGTCTTCCCTTGTCATCATCATAATAGTATAGTTTTGTCTCTCTCCTTCTATTGCTCAGGAACACAGAGGCGGAAAGAGGCTGGTCCTCAAGTACGCGAAACTGTTCATAATAATAATAATAATAATCCACTTTCCGGCTGCTTAACGAGACTATCAAGTATCAAAGGTATGGCTTCAGAAATAGAATGTCTTCGAACCAGCACGACAGACACCATTGTCTCCTTGCAAGTAGAAGGTGCGCAACAGAAACGCGAACTTGAGAGAATGCAGTCCACAAATCCCGTGTAGCGTCTCCAGCTTGCAATGGTCAAGAGAAAGTGTACAGTAGTACCGCAAGGAAAGCTGCTCCGAAACCACTGCGCAGTCACTGAAGCAGAAGCTGCTCTGCTTGGTGTGGCACTGTGTATACACAAAGGCTAGTGCTGCTTCAGCCCGCAGCTACATCAATGTCAAGGCTTGGTGCCAGCCTTGGACTGCGGCTACCTACCACCTGGTCAAAACTGACCAGCACCGCTTCTCATCTTCCGGAGCCATTGCCTGAAACATGCTGCCTAGTGACGTCCGAGCGCTCTCTGCAGCCCGGCAGTTCCACATGTCCGCAATCCCATACGCCTTGAAGTAACTTGCATGCCACTGCTGCTGGTGGTGGTGGTGGCGGCGGCGGCGGTGGTGGCGGCGGTGGTGGTGGTGGGTGGTGGTGGTGATGCTGCTGCTCAGGCTGCTGCTCCTGTTGTTGGTGTTGTGGTTGTTGCCGGTGTGTTGTTGCTGTGGTTGTACTTACAGTCGATCTCGTAGTCACAACATGTTTGTGTTTTGTGTTATTTTTCATCAAGTTCAGTTTACTAGTGTTCATAAGGTTGATCAATCGAGGGAGTTGAAAACAAGTACCAGTAAGTTCAATTTCTATTATTTTTAATGATTTTGTAAGTTAGCCAATCTCCGAACACCTAGCTGTTTCCAATTTTCAACGGTTAGATCTCGTCAGCGGAGTTCAGAGTTACTGGCCAAGCCGATCGCAATGAAGTCTCATAGACGACAAAGCTTTTTTTAAACTGGCTGAAAGCATCAGTCGTTTTGTATGTCATAATTTTTTCTCGAATTCCAGTCGGCTTGTCATTTCTGTTTGCTTTGATTGTCTTTGGCACGTTATCTCTTTATTTTGCCGCTTCATATTATTTTTTTGTTGGTCCATTTACTAGTATCCGCAGATACACTCGACCTCAGTCACTCTCGACGCCATTGTGCCATGTATGGTTTTTGCTCCTGTCCTTGTGGTTACTTTGCCGCAACAGTTCCTGTTAATAGAAATACAAGCCTGATTTTTCAAGATACACTGATGGCACATACGCCTGCATGCTTTTAGTGTTGACACCTGGTTTGAATCAGGGTGTAGTACAATACGTATTGTACTACTCCCTGGTTTGAATAGAAGCCAAGCCCTGACACCGGCTTCTACAGGAATAAGCCCGGCTTTAAAACGTGACGTTACGGTACATGCAATTGGGCTTTTAGTCCACAGGTATTTGAAAATTCAAATAAAGAATACTAAGTACAATACAATTGAATACAAAATACTACCAAGAGTCCATAACCCCCGGGGGGGGGGGGGGGGGGGGGGTATGGACTCTTGATACTACACGTATGCATAGTTTGGGCCTAACCTGAACAAACCAGAAGATATTTTCCTCCGCACCAGCAGGATATGGTGGAAGCGACTGCCTGCTCTCCACTGGTAGATACTCAGAGTCAAAGTCAACAAGGAATTTGGCGATGGTGACACCAAATCCAACCAAAACAATCGCAAAAACCAGATGTGTGGCGATCGACATTATAGTCACATAGATATTCAGAAAGACGATGCTTACAAACACGATTGATAATGATAAACAAGGCTTTTTCTTTTTCCCATCGAAAACAGAAAAGGAAGCCTCGCAGTTCGCGACCCCGTGGGTCAGATCATGACGGAGCCTAGCGCCTGTAGACCAGCTGCACTACGCTACAGCCAGCTATTGTTTTGTTTTTGAAGACTCCCTGCCTGGCCCGGAGAGTCGTACAAACTCCCTGTTTCTCCTGGTCCACCCATAATTGAAATCGTCTTTTTTTATCAGTTTCATCAAGTGAAGGTGGTGTGTGCTCCGAACATCAAGAGTGTTTATCTACTCTTGGTTTCATTCACAATCTGTTCCATTGATTCATTCATTGCCTCCAAACTTGCTATGCAGTTGAATACTACAAACTAGTACTTCTGATGCCCTGACTTGCTGCTGCTGTGGTTGTTTTAGTGGTGTTGTTGTTGTTGTTGTTGTTGTTGTTGTTGTTGTTGTTGTTGTTTAGTGTTGTTGTTGTTTAGTGTTGTTGTTGTTGTTGTTGTTGTTGTTTTAGTGTTGTTGCTGCTGCTGCTGCTGCTGCTGTTGTTGTTGTTGTTGTTGTTGTTGTTGTTGTTGTTGTTGTTGTTGTTGTTTTTGTTTGCTGATTTTTCTTGATGTGGCGGTGTCGCGTGGTGGGGTGATGGTGGCAGTGGTCGGCGGTGGGTTGGTCATGGGTGCGTAATTATTATAGACATGACAAAAATAGTAAATATCGCATTTAATATACAGGAGACAGCAAGATCTCTCCGTTATTAGACTCCACACAATTACAAACTTATCACACAATCCTTCATTTTATGCATTCTACCAAGGTGTTGTCTATTTCTCATCGGGAAAGAGATACAGTGGAACAGGAAACAGCAAGGCAAGCAGCCTGGTAAACATAGCACATAAAAAGAACTCAGCCTAAAAAGTGAATGGTATGGAGTAGCAGATAAGTATTCAGGTGTACAGCAGCCTGAGTAATATAATCACCAAGACTCTTGGAATAATGTATAACAGCCCCCAAGAAAGACGGTAAATCAACAAAATTAATGATTCAGTGCATACCGTACATGAATTATTTCTTGGCATCTTGATCTCAGCCTCAGCCTTTGAGACCGAAATAATTAGTTGAAGGTGAAATGTTGGCATGGTGGAGACTACAGCACTGAAAATTAATCTGTAGATTTGCACTTTGCAGTACCTCATGGCTAGAGTAGAGGGATCTCTTGATTACAACAGGATGTCAATATAGGCCATAACGTGACACACTGGTACACATGAGGCCGGCTACGCTAAGGAAGAACATAGTACCTAAATATACGTACAACTAGACTAGTAAGGTAGAGCGAGCCATAAAATATGAATGAATAAAACCGAGATTTAAAAAAATGATGCTTTCTGTAGTACATGTCTCGGTCTAATAAATAGAACAATAAAACAGTGAATACCCAAGACCAAGTACAAGTCTAACATTCAGCGACGGCAAGACACTGCAATGACGCCTACAACACCTGCCAGCAAGACCCACGAGTGACCAAATCCCAACAGCAGAGCTGTCAGCCCGTACGCCTTGTACATAGAGCGACAGCTCATTGCCTGGAAAAGTAGTCCCAAAACAGCTGGGGAATACACAAGTAACGTGCCAAGCTTGCGACTTAGTGTCGAAAGAGTATTGTGATGAGATTTCCTCTGCTTGTGGTCCAGCAGCCATGAAAAGTGCAGCAACAGCATACAGTGGAATATAATTATCTGTGCAAAGAAAACAGAAAAAAGCATATCATACAGTAGATTCTGAGAGAGAGGAAGTTGTGTTGGGACTCCAAGTTTCACGTTGCCACAGTCATCAGGCAACGAAAGCACATGATATATGCCCGTAAAGTCGTGTATAAAGGCCGCGGCTTATATAACTTTTTGGGGAAATTTTGCAGGCTTCTATATGAGACAGGCTTCTATACAAGACAGGTATGGCAGGTACGTCAACACTAAAACCAGGCTTATGTGCCGACAGTGTACCGTAGTGACGCACATAAAGGCACATGCGCTTAAGAGCGAGTTTTTGCGTTATTCGCTATATTTTAGCGGGTCGTTTTGTCTCACACATAGGCGCATGCGCTTGAGTTGCTAGTGTACAGGTACCTTGCATAAATGAGCGTTAGCATGCTAACGCAAGTTAGCAGCCAGCCCAGCGAGCTGGCCCGATTTGCGCGCATGCGCAAACCTCTCGGGCGTGCGCCCAAAACGATCCCGTGCAAGGTCTCTTGCAAGATCATTGTTGTTGTTGACTTTTGAGCTTGAAACTCGCAGAACGTTTTTGTTCCCACCCTCCCACCCTCTACCTCAACTCACGTTTCTGGCTCATACGTGAATATATGCTCTCAACTGGTTTTCCGCATACCTATATATTTAGCATTTGGCGGCTCCATGCGGAGTCAGTTGGCGGCTCAGCTGCGAGCCACCTAGCGGCTCCAAGCGGGGCCATTATACGCTTGCTTCAATACTTTAACCAGTTGCTCGTATCGGCACTCCCGGCGTAACCCAACATACTGTTGCTCTGTTGTGAGGTGGGGGGATGCTAATAAGGCATATAGTGCAATACCACAATGCACATTGAACTACATACTTCGAAGTATGTATGTGAACATGGTATTTTTGTGGTGTCTGTGTGTCGTGGGATGGACTGCATTTAGGTTCACTTATAAGCCCATGCGCTTATTTGTGAGGGTGCGCTTATGCCCGGGTATAGGCACATGCGCTTATATGCGCGTCACTACGGTTTCTTGAAAATCAGGTATCTATTCAAGACAGGCTTCTATACGAGATAGGCTTTAATACAAGACACTACGGTATGTGCCTGCATGTGGATGGCCATTACCAAAGAAAAAGTCCCCAGCCACATCCAAAAACTAGGAGCACACGCTGCAGTGACTTGTGTGAATGACGAAGCATACAATGAACCCAACCTGGGCCACCAATATCCAGGAAAGTCTTTTGTGAGTGCATCCCATTTCACGACACATTGGGAACGGCAAGGATGGCTCAAAACACAAACTTCGAACTATGTTACGAGTAAACAGTATTGTCCACCAAAAAAAGGGAACAGCAAAGAAGGAGAAAGAAGCATGCACGTGGATCATTCGCCCTCTCAACCACATCAACAATCTACTACTTGCCATGATATCAAAAGTTTCACACGTTCCATCATCAGATACACCAAGTTGGAATGCATGTATCATGCTCAGGGAGAAATGCACGAGTAATCACACTAACCTGTAAGAAGCCGTAAAAATAAGTTAATGAACCGGGCAGAAAGTGACCCTCCACAAAGACACCATGAAAGAACACCAGGCCGTAGTGGTCCGTTAGTAACTCCGCAACGAGGCAAGGGCCTGCATGACAAGACATCACAACAATACCGAGACCATACATACACTGGTATTCAGCACATTCACCTGCATACACTAAACCAGGGAAGAGAAGAAGATTATATCTACAATCTACTGCCAAACAGCATAACATAGAGAGGAATGCTAACGGCATCATGAGTCGCTGCTAAAGACAGCCTTGATCCACAAAAGCGTGCTCATGCACCAAAGCATCTCTTCAGAAGCCAGTAGATCCACAAAAGGGAATGGTCTTATTACTAGTTTCAGCATGCACGATAGAATGCATAAAGTACACAAGCAGGCACACAGAGTGATGGGCAGCAAAGATGCTGGAAAAACCATACATCTTCAAAATCTTGAACAGCAACCGGTATGTGCTCGTACTAATGCTGCATGTAGAGATGTTACTGTAATGCAGAGCATTCACTCACCAAGACCAACATAGACGTGGGCAGTACAAAAGCATGTCAATAAAGGGAGATCCTTTGCAAAGCAGCACAGCCCTCGCCTAGTTGACGGAAACCAATTCCACGCATGGCCTAGAAGAGACGCAGCAAATAAACACGGCTTGAGTGCGTGGAGCTGAGTGCTGCACACATTGCCACAGTAATGCTAAACAGCAAGTTTGGCTGGTGAGTAGCTGTTGGCCAATCTCAATACACAAAATACAACTTTGATTCAGCAACAAGGAAGACTAATTTCACTGTAAGAATTTCCTATTTGTCAACATGTACGAGTGAATGCAAAACGACTAATGGTTGGGCACACAAGGAGAAAGAACGAGAGGATTTGCTCAGAAACGTTTTCTTGCTACGAGGTTTGATTGTTCAGAGGTTCTTCGAAAAATAAAATTGATTGGTGGATTTTGTTCTTGCATGCAGTTACGGCCCAATCTTGCAGTACATGTACCAGGATCCAGTGAAATTGTTAGGGCGATAAGCACCAAATGGTGAAATCAACGAAATTTAATCAACCATGAAAATTTGATTTACGAGTGCACAGAATAATATATTGAGGTAAAATTCATAATACGAGTGTAAATCAAATCACTTCGAGAACTTCACTTCGTTATGGAACTGGTACTTACTGCTGGGGGATGGCAATACCAGTCTGGGGTGCCATCTTGCTATATACAGCACTGCAATCACTGCCAGCCAGGCGCCGACAAACGCCAGCTTGAACTATACCAAAGACCGCAAAACAACAATGTAGGAGAATGTGCCAGTGTATAGAGGTAATGCGAGTGATGCAATTGCATGCATGGTATTGAGTGTAAACCAGTGTTGGTACCACAGTTTTCATGGATTTGCCACTCCATAATGATGACATAATCGTATAACCTCTATATCCAATGTCCCCAAGGGGCATTAGGTCATAAATTGGGGAAAAAGATGAAAGGCAAAAAGATATCAAGCACTGGTGTAAAGATCACTTCGTATTTTGGACACATGCTGTACATGTGCAGTTTAGCATTATCATAACAGTGCTGCAGCAAAGCGCAGGGTTCAGATGTCTCAAACACCAGTGGGATATCATGATTCATGGCTACATGAAGAAGAGTTACAAACTCAGCCTGAAGGACACTGTTGATTGCACGGCTAGATATCTAGCATTGGGAGTCTATTTGGGACCTACCATAAATGCCAGATCGACGCGGAATATTGCTGTCGGGAACCAGCGCAGCTTCACACGGCTGTTATCCAGAGAGAAGACGTGTCCCATCTTGGCTTTAAACTTAGTGTCCTGGACACAAACACAGCAGAAACAAGCATTTCACCAGCAGAAACAATAGCAAGATTAATACGCCCTATACGTCTGAATCTTGTAACGTAGAAGTC